CTCCATATGGAAAAACCTGTTAACTAATAACAAATGTGACCTTTTTAAGAAAATTTACCTCCACCATGTTTTTCTAATTATAATCATAGGCTTAGAATTTAACTTATAAATGTCCATGAGAGAGGGGTGCTCGCCGTGTCAATGCGCCATCTTGGAAAACGGTGGGGGATAAGGACAAAAAGGATGCGAGAATCGAATTTTTGTTTCACACGAGCTACTTACAGTATATCGTTGCTTTCACCGTGCCTTCACAAGTTGGAAGAAGGAACCATGGAGGACCACAGTTATGTAAAAGAACCATGGAGGACCACAGTTATGTAAAAGAACCATGGAGGACCACAGTTATGTAAAAGAACGATCCGAACAACAATCTTTTAGAATAATAATTATGCAGAAGTCCAGCGTCATAGCAGCAAAATGTAAACATCGCAAACCACACGCACAAAGACAGCGTTAACACAACAGGAGGCTCATCGTGTGGTTTGTACACAACAGACTCGCACGTGAACAATACGTAACTTTTTCACACTGACAATAATGAGAACGAGGCAGAATCTGCAACACAGTCTCAGGATGTTCTGACCCGATCCGAGCACTGTCCAACTATGTCACAAATTTCAACTAAACTTATTCAGGGACAAAGCCTCAAATAAAACACACAGAATCCCCACAAAACAATCGCCAGAATACTTTATCAGCAGCGAGAGTGAATGTTCTGTTTTCTGACCGTGATGCAGATAGGGCGCTGTGGCTAACGCTAATGCTAACATGAGGTGTTAGCCATGTCCTGCCGCGGCTCTGTATATCTCCTGCTTCTTTGATCACTGTAGTTTTAAGCTCCCACAGACGTTATTCTTCCTTGCCTCTCTTCTCTTCACACCTCCTCAACTCAAAGGCTTCCGTAGTACCTTGGACTGCGAAACAAGATGTCAACGCTAGATGGCAATAAAAGTTACACAGTGTACCTTTAAAGAACGAAACTTTTGGTGTCATTTGTTCACAACATTTTCTAACAATTTTTCAATTGGAACAAACATATAATTTCACAGTGACATTTATTTACTGTTTTATTTGTTTTATTTTTGTCTTTTAATGTTGTTTTATGTCTGTATTTGTCTGTGCACACTGGAGACTTTTGCTAATGTATTCCAATGTGGTGTTTTTACTGCAAATGGCAAATAAACTGAATCTGAATCTGATAATTTACAAATATTTTTTAAATGTCATGTTCCTCGCATTAAAGTCGTGCTAATCGCTAAAGCCTTGACAAAAACCCCTCAGAGTACAGACATATGACATTAAGATTAAGCTTCTTTTTCTTGTGAGAAAAAACAAAACAACAACAACCCACACATAACACACTAGTCTCTACTCGTCTATAAAAAGCTTGTGCAAAACTCCGAAGCCAACATTTGTGCTGGAGATGATTCATGCCTGTTATTCCTGGCATGAACTTCCCAAAGAGCTTCAATAGTTTTAAATACTTTTTCACATTGTTTTGTCGATGACCCGTATCAAATAGCGGAGGCCCAGTTCATATCGTCTTTAACAAGGCCTGGCGCATCTCCAGCAAAGGGGACTCATCTGTTTAATCATCTCCATCACTCAGCAAGACCTGCCTAAAAATAGCCCCATGCAGGCCTCATGTGGGCAGTGTTATTGTACGGCACAGACCGGGCAGACTGTTGCTTTCAGAGGATCATAAAAGATGCTTAAGCCTACGTGATGTCTAAATATTGTCAAGCTCTGTGTGTGTGTGTGTGTGTGTGTGTGTGGGCGTGTGTGTTTGTTTTGGTGAAGTGTTTGCGTTTAACACTGAGCACACTTAAAGTCTTGTTTACAAAATGTATCCTGTTTCATAATGCTAATCCAAAAGGGCCTCGTCACCACTTCATTGTGTGTGAGTTCGGCGACATGACAGGAGGCATTATCGGAGATTTATGTTATTACTAAACAATGGCACGAATGACGGCCGCTCAAATCCAGTTTCCTTTTTTTTTGGCAAAGTCAAGGGGACAAAGGCTGGCGACCTTGATGAGGACAACTAATGACTAAATCCACAAACACACAAGTAATGTAATGAAATCGTCAGCCAGCGCTCCGTGTCAACACCAATCATCCGCTTTGACCTTGGAGGCAGAAGGAGGCATTTTCAGTCTTCAAGAAGCACCTTTCAAAGAACTCAGACCACTTATCCACGCCAATGCCATGATGACCGTGTCCCATGTTGTGCTTAGATTGGATTAACTGAAAAAAAAAAAAAACATGCAAAGGTGGGTTCTCTTCTTTGGTCAGTTACAAACAGTGTGTTGTGTAATACTTTATTTATTTTATTTATTTATTTATTTATTTGAATTAGGACAGTGCACATTAATCAACACGTCAGCCAAAAGCATCAATGTAAATGTACCAGAATTAGCATGAGAGCTAAATTGCATCCGTTGTCCTAAGGCAGGAAAAGAAACATTGACAGAAGGAAAATACAAACATAGTACAGAGAACACCACAAAGTTACAGTCACAGTTACAAGGACAGACACAGGTAAGATAACATAACACGCCCAAGAATTGATTAAGCATTGAACTTTAATTAAAGTGCAAGATTGATTTGTTTTTAACCAGATTTTTAGGACCTTTTTAAAGGTGTGGTAATTGTCACAGTTCCTGATATGAACAGGCAGCGAGTTCCAGAACTGCGAGCCTCTGATAGACTCCACCGTTTGACTGAATTTAGTCCTACGACGTTGCACAATACAGTCTCCTTTGGTCAGAGCTCTGGTATTTACTCGAGTGTTACTTATTTGTGATATAAAATTCCTTAATGGTGGAGGGGAAAGACCTTTTAAAACTCTAAAAACTAAACAGGCATACCAGATAAAAGTCAAGTAAAAACTTTGAAATAGACAATGAGAGATGCATTTCAACTTCTCCATAAAATGTCCAGGTGTTTCTTTCTTTAAGTGAATAAAAAAGAAAATATTTAACATATGCTAGTGAAAACTTTATTGTAACTTTACAGTTATATGCGAAAATACCCTGAATACTAAATCTTCTGGACTGCCTTTTTAAATTAAAACGCTCAGACCTGTGTGCTCTGACAGCCGTGCAGCAAGTCTGGCATCCTGCTCTTTTGGGATGCCTGTGTTTGGTGCCATTTGGCAACCGCTGGAATATTTAAATGCCCTGATGAATACATAGCCCCTGGGCCTGACTGCTCAAAGCGAACACTGAGTGTGCTCTGACATGCACGGCATACACTAATGGGACTTCTGACAGTCCCGTGCATTCATCCTGCTAAAGCCTGGCCCTGTGCCAGCAGGAGCAGCGTGGCTTTGGAGCTCCAACTCTGGCAGAAGACAAAGAAAGCATGAGGGCACAGGTCTGACTTGTGCCACATCTGAGTGTCCATCAGGCACCACTTACCCTGTCACACTGCCCTTGAACAGGACACCGGGTCAGTCCTTCTCACTTATTGCAAATTACAGTACTTTGGATTGAGTGCAACAGCTGCAGTAAATTTTCCAAAAATAATAGAATCCCCACCTCATTTCTGCAGGACCGGGTTAATGGTCAGAGACACCATCCATTTGGAAGCTCAGCAGCTGTGTGTACTTAGCCAGCCCTGTGTATGTGTCTGTGCAGCCTGGGAGAAACAGTGACGGGTGTGAGGCAGCTGTAACCTGCGCTCATTTGAAAGGACTCTCTAAAAGGAGAAGAGCTGTCCATGGTGCTGAAATCATTAAAATCATTCAAATGGAACTGAAATGGGCTTGCATCTGGATTCAACATATCTCTGTGTCCTATAAGATACAAAGCTAATGATGCCCAGTGCTTTTCACACTTGTGAGTAGATGTGGACATAGCTTCAATTTTGTAATAAGAAACACGGGAGACATTTTCATTGATTAGGGTTGTTACAGAAAATGTCAGTAGTACGGAGTGGTCCAATGAAGTTGACCTTTTAAGTCTGGCGAGCAGCACCACTGGATGATAGAATCCCAGGAACAATATTGATCGTAATTTGCAGCATATCAGAAGTGTCTACGGGATCCTGTCAGGAAGACGTTATTAAGGAACAAATGGATTCTTTTGTTTGTTACTACACTCATATTCATTAAACCTAAACTTACATGGACTTTATCAAGAATAGAAATAATTGATGCAAATGTCACATTATATTTTAGGAACCAGACCAACTTTGTTCTGAAACGTGGGTGCCAACTTGCAGTCTGGGAAGCAGCTGCCAGTTCTTGGTCCACATTGATTAGTTGCTTTTACGCAGCACGTAGCAGAAACATTTGTGGGTGCAGGAATACAGGACCACTCCTCTATCTCCCTGCCTCACTCTCGCTCGCTCTCCGCATGCGATTTTCTCTCCTTCCCCAGTCGGCGCTGAGGAGGGGGAGGGTGGTCTTGCGGTCGACGAGTGGAATATAGGAGTTTAGTGAGGAGACGCTGCAACGGGAAGAAAAACGTGTGCGCGCTGCTGCGGTGTCGGAGCTGACAGAGGCGACTGGAGGCGTGCTCAACAGACTGCGCTCGGACTAATGACCGCTCCAGTCTGGGAAACTGCCGCTTGAATTGTTTAACTTGTTGATGCGTCGATATTCCACTGTTTTCTCATTAGTTTGGCTGCAGTGGCACATACATGGCTGTCGGGATTGCAACAGATTTCCGTGGATAGGCGCACTCTTCAGGGGACGCACTTAAAAGAGCGTTTTATTTGAGGTAGGTGTATTTCTTGAACTATATGTTGTTGTAATTGATTTTTTTGCCTGCGGTGTGAGTGTGTGGCTGACGAAATCCAATTGACATTCTGCCGCAAAGTGAGCTTCCACACTTGTACAGTGGATGAGGCTGAGTGATACTCAACAATGCAATGCGCATTGGTAGAAGTAAACGTGTATTATCAGTGTCTCTGCTGTCCTCCCGCAGATGCCATTCATCTGTGAGTCGTCACTGTGGAAACCGGAGGGGTCGTACTAAACACTACAGGTCAGCATGGCAGCAGGTGTAGCGGCATGGCTCCCATTCGCCCGGGCGGCAGCCATAGGATGGATGCCTGTGGCGAGCACCCCGATGCCCATACCCCCCCAGGACCGAAAGAAGATCCAGGAAGGACTGGTGGTGCTCAACGTGAGTGGGACTAAGTTTCAGACCTGGCGGACCACTTTGGAGAGGTACCCGGACACTTTGCTGGGCAGCACAGAAAGAGACTTCTTTTTCCACGAGGAGACGAACGAGTACTTTTTTGACCGTGACCCTGACATCTTTCGACATGTTCTCAATTTCTACCGCACGGGGAAGCTCCACTACCCGCGCCAAGAGTGTATCTCAGCCTACGACGAGGAGCTCGCCTTCTTCGGCATCATCCCTGAGATCATCGGAGACTGCTGCTATGAGGAGTACAAAGACAGGAGGCGCGAAAACGCCGAGAGGCTGCAGGACGACGAGGAGATGGACGCGAGCAATGACGTCACGCCGGTGAACCTGACGTACCGGGAGTTTCTGTGGCGGGCGTTTGAAAACCCGCACACCAGCACCTTAGCCCTGGTCTTCTACTATGTCACCGGCTTCTTCATCGCCATCTCCGTCATGGCCAACGTGGTGGAGACGGTACCGTGCGGGACTCTGCCCAACAGGTCCAAAGAGGTCTCGTGTGGGGATCGTTACGCACTGGCCTTCTTTTGTTTGGACACGGCGTGCGTCATGATATTCACGGTCGAGTATCTGCTCCGACTTATAGCAGCCCCGAGTCGCTTCAAGTTTGTGAAAAGTGTGATGAGCGTCATCGACGTGGTGGCCATCATGCCTTACTATATCGGACTGGTCATGACGGACAATGATCAGGTGAGCGGGGCTTTTGTCACGCTGCGAGTTTTCAGAGTCTTTCGGATTTTCAAATTCTCCCGGCATTCTGCGGGACTCCGGATCCTGGGCTACACTTTAAAGAGCTGCGCCTCCGAGCTGGGCTTCCTACTATTCTCCCTCACTATGGCCATCATTATCTTTGCCACGGTCATGTTTTATGCAGAGAAAGGCTCCACAGCCACCAAGTTCACCAGTATCCCCGCTGCGTTCTGGTACACCATCGTCACCATGACAACACTGGGGTAGGTGACAGTGCTTTCTCTCACGCGCTTTAACTCTCACAAGCTTCAGGCTCTGTCATTTCATCAGACACCTGCTAAATCTGTCACGTGATATTTGTTAAGAGCTGTGGTCATTATGAGCTTATAGCCCCCAGCAGACAGGGGCACCGGGAAACTGTTGCTGCTATGGTACAGGTGCTTCATGGTGTGTGTGTGTGTGTGTGTGTGTGTATGTGTGTGTGTCCTGCTGAAAGGTGGTTAAACCATAGAGGATGTCTGAACTCTAACTGGCTTTCATTATTGTGGTATCATTGCTCACCTTGCTCAGCTTTTGGGTTGCCATGCTTCCACAGCTGTCTCCGTGAGCCAAGTGGCTGCAGTTTGGTTGGGATGTGTTGTAAATAGCTTCATAATAAAGTGGATGCAGTACTGAGCTGCCTGAGGCAGAGAGATGTAATAATCAAGTTGTGGCAAATTTGTGTGTAAAAATATCCCTGCTGTGGTGTAAACAGTCCTCATCACCTCCCATTCAGCCATGACACAAATGAAGTCCTGTCGAAACCATGTAGGATTTTCTGTGTTAACTCACAGCATCAGAGATAAAACATGCTAAATAAATAGCCAGAGGGGCGTGAGAGCATATATATTCAGTTCACTTGAGCACACCCCATTTCAAATGGCTTTAATTATGTGTTTTTCGTATTCTTTGATGCCGCATCTCTTAATGCTCACATTTGGTGGTATTTGTTCATTTGTTCATGACTTGGATAGTGTTCTTTTGGCCTTTCCTTTCTGCTGTTATCAGGCTGCTGCAGTGATAGAGGCGCTGCCTGAGCCTCCCCTGCATTTATTCACTATCAGTGGAAGCACCTCTCTGCCTCCGATGACCATTGAGAGCATAATTAGTGAAATGCAGAAGCCAGTGATTGAGGCATCTCTAATGCAGCACTGCTCCAGCTTCACTTAGGATGAGAATGAGATACATCATCAATTGTGATGGATGCTCCGTTTTATTCCAATCTTTCGTGTGGATCATGAATGTGATCTTCTACAAAGAGAACCAAAATGAAATGTCCTACAATGGGAGGGGTTCTGGCCATCCTTTGTGTGGTGTGGCAGCAGTCTGACAGATGTACACCTGTACAGTGCCTTGCAGTGGTGCAGAATGCAACAGAGACACACTGTAGAGAGGCAGAGAGAGAAAGTGGCCTGCTCCTCAGGACCCATCAGTCTGTGGAAGGGGTTTTCAGAAATCATCTCTGGATTAAGGGCCTGGTACGACTGAAGGATGGTTGTCTCTGTGTGCTGGCAACACTAAGAACATATCCTGTTTTATTCTCCTCCAGTAACCTGCAGATTCTTATCTGCTTCTGGGAAATGAGCTCTTCTGTTGGTTTGTTTCTTAGCATGAAGGAACATTTAAAGCCAGCCAACAAATAGTTATTGGAGTCAGAAACGAATGGGCTTTTGTGCTTTTATTTGGAGCCTCTGAAAGCTTTTGATTTCATTCAGTCAGTGATGGTTTATGTCGGTGTGGTATCATGATGCCTTTCCACTACATATAGTTTCAATTTCCCTGACTCACGCACGGTGGAAGTAAAGACAGTGGTGAGCGCTTGCTCCCCTGCTGATGGCCCATTGATTGTGCTTAAGCAGACGTGCAGACATTGGGAGAGCAGGGCTCCTGTTCAGAGGCACTTGGCAGTCAGCCTGAATGAGAGCGGAGGAGCTTGGAGACCAGCGGAGAATCAATAGCAGTGTGCAGCTGCGTGTCACGCCTCTGTGTCTCCTGCCGCTGCCACCTCACAAGGACAAGACCCTCTTATGCCTCATATTCATACAGCCTAATCTCTGTGAGGGAGCATCCTCTGTCAAACACCCGTCTACAGATATGCTGTAAAGTGTGAGATCTCTATCTGGGCCTCTTTAATCTATCGGCACTAAGCCTCCAGAGCATAATTTGAGACTTGATTTAATGCAATCCGTTTAAGGTGGCAGATTCCAATACGAAGATAACAACACACTTTATTAAGCTGCAGTCCTGCTGTATCTGCCTCCCTCTTCTCTCAGATGATCCACACAGCCAGGGAGAATTAGCTGCAGAGGGACTTTTTGGTGCTTGAGATCTTTTAAGTGATTTAAGGTGTAATGGAGTGCACAGCTGAAAGCTCTGCGAAAACGCTGGAAGTCAAGCGCAACCCACAAGGGAAGTGTGAGAGGACAGGCTCACACCCAACCGTTCATTTGGACACTGCCTTTACCTTTGAGGGAAACGTTTTTCTGTATGTGTGGACTGTGTTGGCAATGATACATGACATAAATCAGAGTGTAATAATCCTGAATGTCGCTGGTCTCCATGACTTAATAGTGTTTTTACTGCTTCATTATGCATACATGATGTCGAGGTGATTTGTCTGAACATATAGTACACTGGTCATTCAACATGCATAATTAATTGTTCTTCTGATTTTCTGTGGAACTACTCCTCCCACAAAATATCAGTGACAAGTGAGGCCTATAAAGCTCTCAGAGCTGGATTTATAGGACAGAGGAGGCAAGGTTAACAGACAGGAGGGTCACAATAGGGCTCATAAACCAGTTCAAGTATAAGCATTATCTCAACTGCAACTCTGACACAGAGAGCCACTTATGGGAAAGTTGGACTCAGAAAGCAAAAGGACGCATGAGTCTGAGAGATTTGGTTGCAGTTCTATGAACAGTATGATTAGGCATATAATGTATTTATTTTCTAAACAAAATCCAACTGAGAAACCAATAGCCAAAGGGCTCTGTAAATGTTTATTAGGATGCCACTGAACTGAATTTATTAAGTACCTGAATACAATTTGAAATCACCACTAATCTGTAAGTTATGTCACTAATGTAAAGTGTTACTGTAATAAGAGTACTGGTATAGATACTTGCCACCTCCACAATAATCTCTGAGAACAGCTTTGAGTGTAAATGACAAGAGAAAATAATGACAACATAATTAATATATCTGACCATAAGAGGTCAGGTTTAACCTGCACAATACACATGTGTAGGGCCTTCTCACCAACATAAAGATCATGAAACCTATGACAACTGTCACATCTTGTACCTAAAGCCACACCTGGACCTCTCTGTGTGTGCCCTCTAGTATATTAAAGGATATACTAGGGGGCAGGTTATTGAAGTACGGAAGCACAAAACCAGCACATTTTGTACTAATCTGCTAACTCAACCTAATTACTCATATATAGGGAAATTAAGACTTTCCCCTTCTCATTTACACACTTATGGGTGATTTTAATGACACTAATTAGATCCTAGATCCAGGCATTTTGATGGTGTTTGTAGTAATGTCCCGTGAGGATCCTGTCAGAATCTGTGCAGACTTATACTGTATATCACGGTGCCCAAGGTCCGGAGCTCTACAGTTCCCTTTACCAACCAAAAGATGATGTGGGGGGCCTCCATTATGAATCTGTACATTAAACTGAATCCAAGGCCTGCAGTGGAGTTCCTGCACTTTGGGGAGCAGTTCTGTTGATATTTATATAATTCAAAATAGTAAAAACATAATTATAATGGTTCCCAATTGTCAAAGATTATCATTTGCACATCAGCATTTATTGGAACTCCTGCGTCATATTTCTTCGCAGCCCTGACATAAGCATTTTTCCTGAGGGCGTGCTTTTGAAACAAGAAATAACAACAGTTTTGTGGGCCTGGATAATGAAACAATGACACGTATTGGAAGTGCTTCGGCCATACACTGATGAATAAGAAGAAGCCAATTTGTGCTAACTTCATGTGCATGAAATTTGAAGCCAAAAAGTATCATAGCAACCAAAGAACCAATCAGGAGTGAGGTTGTCTGTCCTTTCTCACTCATTCCCCAAAGGATTTTACAATACACCAGAAAACATGTTAAAACCAGAACATTTGAAGCCCAGGGTTTGAGCTGTTGACTGTTCAGCGAAAGTGATGTCACAATATTTCGAGTTCCAAATTGATGACAGCAAAAGTCTGAAAACCACTGATTTCTTCCTCAATGGTTGGATGAGTGAACAATCCCTGGCCTGCATGAGCGACAGAGAAATCTCACTCCTCTTTTCACGACAGTCAGTGCGAACATTTGGCCTGTTTGAATATGTACCGCAATGGCTGTAATTTCTGCTGTAGACGAGAACGCATTACACCACTTGGCATTGTGTATGTAGCAGACATTATGCAAAACCAAGTGTCCCATTAGCGCGCGGCGTGATCTATCTGCATGTAAAACAACAAGCAGAGGTGGCTGATGGGACATGTGTGTAGGTCGCCATTAGCCTGGAGGGAGGCTGCCGGCACGCCCCCCTTCCAGCTGCTTTATTTGGGACAAGAGGTGATTCTAATATGAGGCCGATGTGGCAGGTGACTTAATGAGCAGGACCTGGCAATGCAATGTGTTTCGTGAGAGCTGCGTCGTCCATGTAAATGAGGCTGGGGAGGAGGGAGAGAGGCTTGAGGAAAGGCTATAGTTTAACACATTTGGATTATAGCGGTGGCGATATTGCACAGATTTGTTATCCACATGGGTGGTAACAAAATGGAAACATGAGGCTGGTGTTTGGTACCATTGATTATTTTTAACTTTCATTTGCGGTTTAGTGGAGAGAATTTCATTTGCAGTGTGCATCACGTTTGTCATTACATGAGTGGGACAAAAATAATATCTTGATTTATTACACCTTTGGCAAACGAGGTTATTCTCAGCTTGTTTCCTTGACATGTTTTGCTTGGCTCAAGGAATAAGCTAACAGGGTATAAAATGAACTCTCAAAGTTATGCTTATGTTTATAAAATATCCGTGTTGTTAACATGACACATCTGTTGTTTTATTGAAGTTTAATCTGGAGAGACATGACTGCATTTATTGTATGCTGTACATTAAATAAAGTTATGTTTTGGTTATTTGTTATGTTTAGACCCCCGGCAGAGTACAGCAGGAAAAATGGAGAATGGTAAATCATAGAGGTTATGAGATTAAATCCCCGT